CAGGCACGTGCCACCATGCCCAGCTAATTTTTGTATCTTTAGTAGAGACGGGGTTTCACCATGTTGACCAGGATGGTCTCGATCTCTTGACCTCGTGATCCACCCGCCTCGGCCTCCCAAAGTGCTGGGATTACAGGCTTGAGGCACCGCGCCCAGCCTTCTCACCATCTTAAAGTTGAAAAATACTAATTCAAACCATCGAAAATTGGGAACCATTTGTATTTGGATAAAGAACTACTGAAAGATAATTAAATTCTAAAAAGAGATGGGTGATAGAATTGATAGATACAGAGTGGAAACAAGACTTTTCAATATTTGTCTTTTAGTATAATTTTGATTCTTATACCATATAAGTAAATTATCTACTCCAAAGCATTTTCCAAAAGAAAAAATACTCCTGCTATTAATCTCACTCTTACCTTATTTTCCCCTTAAAAATAGCTTTAGAAAATAACTTGTCAATAACCATCTGTTGAGCATATTATCATTTTTATCATCTCAATTGTATCTCAAACAATATTACTTCTAAAATATAAAAATTATAGATTTTAAAACACTATCAACTTATAAAAGATGGCAGTTGAATTGAGGTCATTTTAATTTAATATAATTATAACCCATACATGATAAGATGTAGAGCTTTTTAAATTTTTACACATTTGGCTTATCTACTTAAACCTGACCACATCACACTTATTTTTTTAAACAGGAGTACTTAGGGGAAAAATTATGTTTATACCTTGAAAATTTGATGTCTTTAAAGTTTTGCTTAAAAAGACCCCGTTTCATACCTAACGCAGATGATGGTTTGATGGGTGCAGCAAACCACCATGACACGTGTATACCTATGTAACAAACCTGCACGTTCTGCACATGTATCCTAGAACTTGAAGTATAATAATAAAAAAGACCCCATTTCAAGTATAAATGTGACTTTATTCCAAAAACAAATTTTTATGCCTGAGTATTTCACAATATATTTGCCTAGATTAGGGCTCCAAGGTTAAAAAGAGATTTTTAGAGGCTTCTTGTTGCAGTTTGGTAAACACTATGTCTGCTCATTTGTAGACTTGACTGCTTTGTCCTTAGTTGCCCTCTCTCCTCCTCTTTCTAAAATCTGCTCATCCGGGAAGAATTAGAGCATTTTTGGCTCTCCTCTCACATACTGCTTAAAAACTGAGCGTGGATCCAGTATTTGCAGGGAAGGCCACTGATCCTCCTAAGTCTAGTGGGAGCTGACAAGGGGATGTCTGTAAGAATATATTCCATCTGTAATACTACCAGACAAGGTGACGAGACTGGGAACATCCCCAGGACACCTGGGTTACAGCTCTTGCTCCAGGCTCCTCCTCCCTGAGGGATTTAGCTCATTATGTAGATCTTCTATACTCTCCACCTCTTTGGCTAGAATGTTAAAGAGAACCCAAGACCCTGGGTCTGAGGCCAACTGAACCTCATCTCTTACCTTCTTTAGTCATTCACTAGTCCAAACTGAAAGGAGTAAGGGGAATACTAGTAGATTTCACTGATATGACTTCTCTTACTTTCTCTTACAGACCAAACAATCTCATGTAACAGACTATCTAGTCCTTCCTTGGCATTTTCCAGTCACTATTGTCTTATTATCAACATCTCTTTCAAAATCCATACCCTGTGCAACCCCTATATATAGTGTGAGGGATACAACTGTACCATCTCAGGTGTACTATAGTCTGCAGAAAGCGAACAGGTGCACACACACAAACATGCATGTATACACACACACGCCATAAGGTAAACTGAAATCTTAATTTATTTAGTGAAAGATTCAAAACACATGATTAAATGATCTGGCTACTGGCGCAGATGCAAGGTATCACAGCATTCCACTTCCTCCGAAGTGGGAAAAGGATCTCAGTAGCTGTGAGACTATGTGTAAGACAGAGTCTTGCTGAATTTAAGAGGCCGTTCTATGCTGTTTTCTGGTCTTTTTAAACCAGGTACTTTTATATCACTAGTTAAAAAGAACGGATGCAAAAAGTCTAAAAATATATGAAGAGAGTGAGAATGCAATTCCATGCCTAGTGATTAAAAACACTTGGTTTCCTTAAACCCTCCTTCCTCCCCAACTCCAGGGGAGCTGAAAGTGAAAAGGGGACAGCAGAAGATGTGGTGGAGTGGACCTCCCACCCTGGGAGTGTGTACCTCCCCTGCACACACACACTGGAGACATAGGTCAAGCTTGAGCCAGGGTGGAGTTGGAGGTAGGAAGGAGATGACATGGACTTTCACATTGGCCCAAACTAGCCCAACATGTCATGACTGGATGGGAAAGGAAGATTAGGCATCACAAAAGGCAGTGACTGGAAAACACCAAAACCATGGCATGTTGGCACGTCACCACATCCAGACCATGGAACTAACGAGTTGTACCTGCAGGTATCACATTCAAGCCTGCCGCAGTATGACAGCCATCTCATGGTGTCTCATCATGGTATTAACTCCAGCCTGGTGCTTCCAAATAGGAAGTTTTTTTTTTCAGGGGTTGTGTTTGTGTACCCAATATTGTTATTGGGTAATATACCTAGTCCATGAGGTTCCATTAGGTGGTTAGGATAAAAAAGAATTAAGAATTCTGATGTTTAAAAAAAGCTGTCTGTGAAAAGCAACCTGGCTTTACAGAACGCAGTGATTTTGAGTAAAAACCGCTGAGGGTCAAATTCTGGTGCTGCAGTGGAAATTTGAGCAAGTTAGATAACCTTCTACACTTCAGTTTCTTTATCTGCAAAATGGGAACAGTGATATTAATACAATATATTAATGTAATTAATATAACATAGCTCATATTATATTATAATATTGTTACAAAGATTAAATGAGCTGATACACAGGAAGCTCTTGGCATAGTGCTGGCATGTAGAAAGCACTCACCCAGCTGGGTGTGGTGGCTCATGTCTATTATCCCAACACTTTGGGAGGCCAAGGCAGGAGAATCACTTGAGGCCAGGAGTTCAAGACCAGCCTGGGCAACATAGTGAGACCCTGTTTCTGAGAACAAATAATAAGTAAAAACAAAATAAAAACGAAGCATTCAGCCAATCTTGACTTTACCTCTGAATACTGTAATTTTATGAATGTTGTAAATAATTGTGAAATAGATACTTATGTACCTAATACTTTGACCATAATTCCAATTATTTCCTTTTGATAGGTTTCTAGGAGGATGACGACTTAGGTTCAAATGTATGAACATATTGACTGCATTCTGTTTTTAACGTTTACTAATAAAGACAATTGAATAGCTTGCTTCATCGGACTATCAGCGAATTCTTGGCTCTGGAAATTAAATTCTTAGAATAAATGCTAGCTGTTAGATTACAAACCGAAGGTTTATCTAAAAATCTAGTGCTCTTCAAAATATCTTGTGATAAGCCATTAGCAATAAAGAGAAGATAACATGGAGCGTTTCTTTTTTTTACAGTAAACTCTAACGGACGCAGAAGTGCAAGTGTGGTTCAGGAGAACTTGCCCCACTTTCTGCAATCCCTCAGCTGCATTCATTCCTTGGCATTCCCTTCCTAACACCTGCCCTTTAAATCCTTCACTTTGCATTGTCATTGGACTTTTAGATTCCCTTGTTATCTCTGACCTTTTTATTTAAGGATGTGACTTTTGATTAACCTTTGCCCTGTGGGTCAGCAGTTAAGCTGTGCATTCTCCCAGCCCTTTCATCTTTTGCCTTTTTAGGGACAAAGCCAGTCGTGCATAATGTACACTTATTTTGGCCATCTCAAGCCATTCTTAGGTGATGAAACCTCCTAAGGCAGGTGCTGCCAGGGGTATCCTTGAATAGGAATTATGAGAAAAACTTTTAAGAAGAGCATTAGACTTTGGGTTTCTAAGAAAAATTCAGCCTGTTCAAGTTTCATTTCAATGTCATCTTTTAGAGAAAGCTAAAAGAGTACTCTTAACAGAGTCAGTCGTCATATAAATTTTTACATTTTAAAAGTGAGGGGTCAGTTGCAGTGCTGCTGCAGGGATTAAATATTAGAAACTCTTCCTGAACTCAAGCAGATTTTAGCTTTTTAGGGGAAACAGAATACACACAGATGTCTATAACATAAGGTAGAAGAAATAAGGATCATAAAGCACATAAAGGGATTCTAAGAGAGGAGAGATTAGATCAAGTACTAGAAATCTAGGCGATGGTGTTTAAGATCAGCGATGGGCTGGCGCAGTGGTTCATGCCTGTAGCCCCAGCACTTTGGGAGGCTGAAGCAGGAAGATTACTTGAGCCCAGGAGGTTGAGATCAGCCTGGGCAAGATGGCAAGACCCTGTCTCTACAAAAAAAATAAAAAATAAAAATAAATAACCAAGTGTGGTGACATGCACTTGTAGTCCCAGCTACTCAGAAGGCTGAGGCAGGAGGATCCCTTGAGCCCAGGAGTTTGAGGCTGCAGTGATGGTGCCCCTGAACTCCAACCAGAGGAAAAAGGATCAGCCATGTGGAATTTGGCATAGGTGGAGGGGTGAGTAGAACAAGTGAGAATGGGAGCATTCATCCAAGCATTTGGCATCATAGGAGTAAAGTCAGAAGCAGCAAAGAGTGGGCATGTTTGGGGATCTTTAAGTAGTTTCACTGGCATGTACAATACATATAGGCATTGTGGAGGGCGAAGGGAAGGACACACTGGGGCGGGGCTGCAGAGGGCCTGGTTTCCTAGGGTGGACAAGATACTGAAGGTTTTGTAACAGAGAAGTGATCATGGCTGTAGTACAGCTGTGATTTGAGAAGGCCTATTAGGGAGCTGTGAGAAAAGGGACATGAAGAGGAAGAAAATTGATTTCAGGTGATGCTGTTTTTTGTTTTTTTTTTTTAATATACTGAAGACCACAGAGGAGCTGGTGGGGGGTGGGAGGCACGTGTCCCAAGCCAGGACAGTGGCTGTGAAGATGAGAGAAGGGGTGAATGTGCTTAGTAAATTTATGAAATTTTTCTTTAAATGAAAATAACAATTTCTTTTCTTAAATAATTTATTTGCAATAAATTAAGAGTTAAATAACAAATTAAAATCAATGGTTAAAAACTCACAAAACATCAACAAATAAAATCTTTGGTTGATATATCTAATCATTTTTACAAAGCACAATAATTGAATTTCGGTAAGAAGACATATGAAGATTACTGAATGCTATAGAAAAGAGACAAGCATAATGATAAGGTGCTTTTTCATTTTCAATCCTAAAAGACTTGGTAGCTGAACAGGGCTGTAGAAAGTCTAAACGATGTCTGCAGACATGGATCTGGGTCCTGGTTTTCCACTAACTGCTCATGTGGCCTCTAGAAAGTCACTTCAAAACCCTCTAGAACCATTTTCTCCTCTGTAAAATAAGGGGTTGGCATTATCCCACAGCTCATCAAATAATCTATATGAATCAATGGACCTGTTTATACCTGGTTTCTAGAAGTTTCTAGTGGTGTCCATAGCAGACCAAACATTTCTTTTTTTTTTTTTTTTTTTTCTTGAGACGGAGTCTTGCTCTCTGCTGGGCTGCAACTGCCACTTTCTGGATTCAAGTGATTCTTCCTCCTCAGCCTTCTGAGTAGATGGGATTACAGGTGCCTGCCACCACGCCCAGCTAATTTTTTTTGGAGATGGGGTTTCAACATGTTGGCCAGGCTAATCTCAAACTCCTGGCCTCAGGTGATCCGCCTGCCTTGGCCTCCCAAAGTGCTGGGATTACAGGTGTGAGCCACCATGCCCGCCCCCGAACCCGTTTGTTTCAGTTACAGAGTAGCATAGGTTATATAATCTGTTGAAGCTATTCTGTTGGGCTCAAATGATCTATAAACGGATGTACCATCTAGTGAACTATAATGTTTTTGAATCATAAATTCTTGCTACTGCCATCACCAAGCCTTAAGAGAAGGCTCTTAATCAGAGAAGAACTCTAGAATGATTTTTGAGTTAGCTTCCAGTCTCCAGTTACCTTGTGGAAGTTTTGGTCCACATTTGACTATATATATATATTTTTTTTTGACAGTTGCCTTTCTTTTTTCTCTTTCCTTCTTTCTTTTCTTTGAGATAGGTATCATTATGTTGCTCAGGCTGGCCTCAAACTCCTAATGTCAAGCAGTCCCCCTGCCTCAGCCTCCCAAGTAGCTGGGACTGCAGGCACATGCCAGCACACCTGGCTCAACAGTCACTTTAACTAAACATGACCTGCTATACAAAAGTGCAAGCAGGCAAAAGAAATCATTTAGGAGATGAATTATACAGATTAATGATTTAGATGTTTATTCATTTAGTATAGGATTTGTTGCAACATTTCTTTAAATAATTTCCCCCTCATATAGTTTAATGAGAACTCAATCTCCTCATGACTTTTCAGAAGCACTCTGTTAATTTCAGTGGAAAGGCCTTCTTTGTCCAAGATCATGGCCCCCTTTGACACAGATCACGGCCCCAGCAGCAGAAAAGTGGACTCATCCTGGGTAGAGCAGCAAAATCCTATATTTCAGCAAAGAGATGCTCTTGCTTTCCTTAGCAACATGTTAAAACAAGCTAACATAAAAATACCATAAAAAGTGTTATTTTGATTTAATTTCAGATAAGAGAGTAAGTAATGTTAATTGACAACTGTCACCAAAACTTTGAAATGTACTATCTCCCAGTAATTTGGGGGTAAGCTTGTGTCCACATAAGATAGTGAGAAGAAAAGAAAAGCACATTCAGGGAAACCATTTTGGCCTCTTTGCTTATGTGTTTCTCTGGACTATGCAGGGTCGGTGGGGAAGTTTACCGAATGCAGTTTAAATAAAGGGCCTAGAAGGAAAACTAACTGGTTCAAATAAATGCATTGCATTACAAGTGCGAAAGCTGTATAGAGTTTAATGACATAATGACCTTTCTATTTCAGGGGAATTAGATTTCAGAGTTTCATCCAGCTTTCTTCTAATCACCAGACCAGGGAGCCTCATTTCAAGTTTTCACAAGTAAAATACCTTCTTTCTGAGTGGCAGGAAATTTAAATTCCTCCATTGTGTATACACTGGAAATCCCTAATCTCAAATCCATCAATTTCCTACCTATGGTTCAGAAGGTTTTAAAACCAATGTACTGTCAAGAACTTTGGGGAAATAAAATGTCCCAGAGATAATCAAATGACATTATTTGTATTCCAGGTTCAACTATGGGATTTATCTTTGACTCCAAGTATCATCAGGGTGGCATATGGTGATGGATTCTGCCAGATCTGTGCCATTTCATTGACTTGTTGGGTACCAGCCCTCCAAGCCTAAGACTAAGCTAATGCTCCATAGCAAAGAAGACAAATTACAAATTCCTTAGTTCATTAGAGTCTGGTATTACATTTCTATTGTTTACTCTAAATGTTTTGTTTAAACTAAGCTCTCTGCTAAATGAGTCGTTAAATGGTAATGTTTGGATTTTCATAATTATAATTGAATTTTACAGGTCTTAAATCAGCAGGAATTCAGGCTGAGTGAAAAGTTCCTTTGCATGACATGTGAAACTAAGGCTTTAGCTAACTTATTTCAGCTGTTTTTCATAAGAAAACTATGAACTCTAATACATAAATTGTCCAGTCCTTTCCTCTCACAGATATAATTCACTATTTGGCTTTAGAACTCACTATGTACAAATGGCTCAGCACAAGTAGCACCTCACATTTCCACAGAGTTAAAAGGATACAGAACTTTTTCACATATAACTGCTGCATTCCTGTAATCCCCACCCCTTAGCTGGGGGCGGGGGGTGTCTTTTCTCCACAGATTTTTCCCACAAGTCTCCCAGGTTGGTTTCTGCAGGGGTTATCTTTCTATTCATCAATCTTAAGATTGATTTTGTTCACTCTTGATCAAATACATCTCATTTTTCAAAACCAACTTTAAAATCTGTTCCGAGGGAAGCATATGCTACTCATCCATCTGCAGTCCATTATGAGAAAACTTTTTCTTTTTTTTTTTTTTTGAGAGGGAGTCTCACTCCGTTGCTCAGGCTGGAGTTCAGTGGTATGATCTTGGCTCACTGCAACCTCCCCCTCCCAGGTTCAAGTGATTCTCATGCCTCAACCTCCCGAGTAGCTGGGATTACAGGTGTGCACTACCACACCTGGCTCATTTTTATATTTTCAGTAGAGATGGGGATTTCACTACGTTGGCCAGGCTGGTCTCGAACTCCTGACCTCAGGTGATCTGCCCACCTCAGCCTCCCAAAGTGCTGGGATTATAGGCATGAGCCACTGCGCCCAGCTCATCAATCTTAAGATTTTGTTCACCCTTGATCACATCTCATTTTTCAAAACAAACTTTAAAATATGTTCTGAAGGAAGCATATTCTACTTATTCACCTGAGATCCCTCATGAGAAAACTTCTTTCTTATAACTGAAGACATAAACAGTGATTTTTCAACCCCTTTTTTTTCTTACTTAGAATTTTTTATCCAAAACTCTTATGCAGAACCTGGATTTAAAATAGGCAGAGGTAGGCTGCTCTACCTGACATCCCTGGCAGGTGGCAGCCCACCAGTGACGTTCCTCATGGCTCCTTTCAGCTCCCTGTAGCTGTCCCTGAGCCACCTCCCAGGAAGCTTAAATTCATGCTTCACGACTTATCATCAAGTCAGCTCTGGACTGTGCAAAAGCCTGTCCACAGCCAGTGATTTCTGAGCAAGTGCTGCCCGGGGAGATGACAGCTAGAGCCACACTAAGGAATGTGGTGGCCTGGGCCAGGTGAAGGAACCCGGTAGTTCTCAAGCAGAGTCCTGTCCTCCAGGCCCGGCAGGGGGGGTCCTTGAGGGAAGAGCCCCAGAAAGTTTCCCTGAGCAGCCACTCCTGTTTGTTGCAGGCTTTGCTCCCCCAAGACCTTGACCAAGAAGTTGATATACCTCATTGCCAGGCGAAGTGTTTCATTTTTGCTCAGCTTTTTGTCTGGAGGGTGAGTAGGGATGAGCTTCCTCAGCTTGGCAAAGGCGCTGTTGACGTTCTGCTGCCTCCACCGCTCCCTGGTATTTGTGAAGATCTTCCTGGTCATGTTTGAGTTCCTGAGATGGAAAGAAAAAGGGCCCTCAGGGCCAATATCTTATAAGAGGCCTGATTGGTATCACGTGTCCTGCCAAGAACCTGAGATGTTAAGATTTTCTCGACCCAGAGCTTAGGAGATTCATTTCCTCAATTTCAGGTTTTTTGACAAGAGAAGAAAATGTAGTAGAGAGGGGAAGGTAAGAACAACACTCTTCAGCCTTTCTCCCTGGCTATTTTGAAGCCTCCAATGGAAAGACTGCTTTGCCCCGATACTCCTATTTCTTCCTTTATAACCAAGCCTTCCTCATTGTTCGGAATCAGGTACAATATTGATTGAGTTTATGTGTGAATACAATATATGTTTGGCTAATAGAAAGTTTCTTCTTTTCTTTTTTGAGATGGAGTCTCACTCTGTCACCCAGGCTGGAGTGCCATGGCACAATCTCAGCTCACTGCAACCTCCAGCTCCCAGATTCGAGCAATTCTCCTGCCTCAGCCTCTAGAGTAGCTGTGACGATAGGTGCCTGCCACTATCTTTGGCTAATTTCTGTGTTTTTAGTAGAGATGGAGTTTCACTATGTTAGCCAGGCTGATCTTGAAGTCCTGATCTCAGGTCATCTGCCCGCCTTGGCCTCCCAAAGTGCTGGGATTGTAGGCGTGAGTCACTGCACTCAGCTGCCAACAGAAAGTTGAGTATGAATCAACAGTGTATTCTCAGAATGAAGTAAAAAAAGAAAATGATTCTAGGTTTAATTCATAAAATAAAATTTGGAATGGAGAAAACAATACAGCTCTCTTGTTATCTGGCAAACCCCACCCAGAGGATTCAGTCCCTCTCTGTAAGAACGGAAATATAGACTGGACTATATTTAGGGGAGGAGGGACAGAGTCCTCTGATGAAGTGTCTTGAAACCCTGTTGTGGGGTATTTAGTCTCATAAAAATGAAAAGACAAGGAGCAGGTGGGAGTGGTCATCTGGCGTGGATTCCATAGAAGATACTTGGTGGGCCTCTTCGGGGCTGCACTGGATGACCTTTCCAAGTCTAGAAAAGTGGTTTATCATCATATACTGCCAAGTATTATGCAGCCAGTTTTCACTCTTAGAGGCATGGGCCCCTTTTTTTCAGGTGGCTTGGATTAACATGTGTTATAGGTACACTTGGGATGTAGTGGCAAACAAGCCAAAGGCCAGCCTCAGGCAGGTTGGTATTTTGGCTTACTGCTGTTGGTCTGCTGCCTGCTCCACGCTCAGCTCCCCTGGGCACTGAGCCCTTTCTAGTTCCTCCAAAGAGTCATGAATATTCTCAACTCTACCCTTTTACACATTGTCATTTTCTGTCCTTGCATTTCCTCCCCACTCTCTACTTACTTATTTCTTTAAAGAGCAGGTCAGATCTTCCCTTTCTACCAAGCCCTGACTCTACAGGAGTCTTCAAGGAATTCAGCCATCAGTGGAGCTGTGTGCATGGTGGTCAAGAGCTCCAAGGCCAGAACCCTGGTTTGGCTGTTGGTTCTACTCCCCCTAGCTGTGTATCCTTCAATAATCTACTTAACCTCTCTGTGTTTCAAATGCCTCATAAATAACAGTCAGTTCAGGGGTACTGCATCATTGTGAGGACACATAAAATGATGCACATAAAGCACCTTAGCTCAGTGACTTGTGCATAGTGAAGGCTCAATAAATATTTAATGATTGGCCGGGCTCTGTGGCTCACACACTTTGGGAGGCCAAGGCAGGCAGATCATCTGAGGTCAGGAGTTTGAGACCAGCTGGCCAACATAGTGAAATCCCGTCTCTCTTAAAAATTAGCCGAGCATGGTGGTGCATGCCTGTAGTCAGTGTCAATCAGGACGCTGAGACAGGAGAATTGCTTGAACCCAAGAGGTGGAGGTTGCAGTAAGTCAAGATCACTCCACTGCACTCCAGCCTGGGTGACAGAGTGAGACTCTGTCTCAACTACAACAACAAAAAATTAACAATTATTATCTCTACAAATAACACAGAGAAAAGTAAGCATTGTAATTTATCATTTTCCTCCTAATGAAGAAGTTACCATGCAGTAGAGAAGGTCTGAGCTTTGTGTGCTCTTTTGATTCACTTTACAGGAATATATGGGTGTGTGTGTGTGTGTGTGTGTGTGTGTGTGTATGCAGAGCAAAAACCTGGAAGGATTCGGGACAAACTGTCAACAGTGGTTCCCTGGGGGAGGACAGAAGATTGGGAGAAGAGAAAAAAGGGAGACTTGTGGTGTTTTATTCTGTATACTTTAGTATTGTTTTAAATATATATATATATATATACACACACACACACACACACACACACACACACGTAAATATATTATATAAATAAATATATACATACATTTTTTTTTGAGACGGCATCTCACTCTGTTGCCCAGGCTGGAGTGCAGTGGCACGATCTCAGCTCACTGCAACCTCCGCCTCCCAGGTTCAAGCGATTCTCCTGCCTCAGCCTCCCGAGTAGTTGGGACTACAGGTGCGTGCCACCATGCCCAGATAATGTTTTTGTACTTTTAGTAGAGATGGGGTTTCACCATGTTGGCCAGGATGGTCTCAATTTCCTGATCTCGTGACCTGCCCACCCTGGCCTCCCAAAGTGCTGGGATTACAAGTGTGAGCCACTGCTCCCGGCTGTTTTATATTTTTATAAGAAATTATTCATGTATTATTTGCTTCACAATAGAAAAAAATGTTTTAAATGCTATGGGCTTTAGAGCAGAAACACCCAGTTTTGACTCTCTACTCTAAATTTCCTAGTTAACAGTTAACTTCTCGAAGCCTCGGTTTTCTTCTCCGGAAAATGGAGAGAGATACAGCCATCTGCAGGACTTTTGTGAGGATTACATGAAATACATTATAAACTGTCTGGCACATGGGTGCTAAATAAATGCAGCAATTTCTTCCCTATACACATGGAAAGCATCACTGTTGCAAATAAAAGCATTTTTCTTTCTCTTTGTGCTTTTTTACAAAAACTATTTTTGGTAGAGAGAGGGTCTCACTATGTTGCCCAGGCTGGCTTGGAACTCCTGGCCTCAAGCAATCCTCCTGCCTCAGCCTCCCAAAGTGCTGGGATTACAGGCCAACCACCACACCAATTGCATTTTTCAATCATCTCTGTGCCCCCAGGACATTTCCCCATCCAGCTCCTTTCCTGTTCCCTCTCCTGCTTGTGTCTGAGTTGGAGAGTCCAGTGCTGTGCTGCGAATTCACAGCGAACTGGAAGAACTGCAGCCCAAGGTCACTGGATGGCTTCCAGCTCCCTCCACTGTCTACTTGGACCCACATCCTCTCTCCGTGGAGACATTCCCTAGTTGGGCCCATTAACCAATTACAATACTATGCACTCCAAGCTTTGGGACCAACATTTGCTGAACCAGGTATAATGCTTGCTGGTGAGTGCTGAGAGGCTGGTTGATTGTTTTGATGTGTAAGGGAAGCACTGGGACTACAGGAGTGGAGCAGCAGCTAACCAGGAACTCTAGCAGGCTCCCAGGCAGGCCAGGTCTCCTTCCAAAACTGAAAGGGGTGGGCCAGGTGATCCCCAAGACCTCTTTCTACTCTGAAATGTCACAATGGCCCGCCCATTGCTTTTTTTTTTTTTTTTTTTTGAGACAGATCTTTGCTGCTGTTGCCCAGGCTGGAGTGCAATGGCCAATCTTATAATCTGACTCAATGCAACCTCTACCTCCCATAGTGCAGTCTCAGCTCAGTGCAACCTCTGCCTCCCAGGTTCAAGCAATTTTCCTGCCTCAGCCTCCCAGGTAGCTGAGATTACAGGCACCTGCCACCACATACAGCTAATTTTTGTATTTTCAGTAGAGATGGTTTTTCACTATGTTGGCCAGGCTGGTCTCAAATTCCTGACATCAGGTGATCACCCCCTTAGCCTCCCAAAGTGCTGGGATTACAGGCGTGAGCCACTATGCCCAGCCCCATTGCCTTTTATCTACCCTAAGTCATTTCTGAATAACCTGACCTCTGGTATCTATGAAAACATGAATGTTGTCAGAACTATACCCAAGTAAACCTAAAATGTAAAAGTTTGAACCTGAATCAAGGAGATTTTAAGGTAGAAAACTATCCAGTTTTGTTCACAGGGACACTGGCCAGGATTGTAGGAGCAAAGTTACATTCACGCTTCTCTTATCGAAAGAGGGTTTAGCTCATTCACTAAGTCAACCGTAGTCCCATGGGGGGTCTTTTTTCAAGCTGGGAGGAAAAAAGATTAGGCAGGATAAACTAACTGCGGTGTTCTTTTCTAAGAGGGCTCTATCCTATTGTACTAGAAACAGACAGAAAAAAACAGAGAAGACTGGTTTCTAAAATGTAGTCTGCCATCCTGGGAGGTGCTTAATCATTCCTTGTTGATTTATCCTCAAGTGTGTTCCTCTCCTTCTCCACAGGGGAAACAGAAATCAGTGATTTAACAAGCTGGAAAAGCTCAAAGTAGAGGTCACTGGCAAATCAGTGAAGTACTTATTAAATCAAAGGAAAATTGCATTTAGTGTTTTTCCAGTTGCAAGGACTGATTGCTGCTAATCGTGATTTCAGAGTTAGGTAAGAGCTAAAAAAAAAAAAAAAATACACTAAATGCCACAAAATCAGAGAACATTTGATAGATGCCAAAACAGAGGCGAAGCATTTAGGCCACACAGGGAATCAGCGGTACAGCCTGTGTCCCAGAACTGGATATTGATGCATTTACATCACCATTGAGGACTCTTGCCGGGTCAGGGTTCATAACCTTTTTTGTACCATGGACCCTTTTAGCAGTCTGGGGAAGCCTAGGAACAGATTCCTTTTCAGAACAATGATTTTAAATACATAAAGTAAAAAGGCTTTGGTTCCCATCTCACAATAATTATTTTAAGTCCATAAATTAAAATATATAGACACAGAAAATAACCAATTACATTTAGTAGTTGTTAAAATAACTTAAAATACAATATAACAATACATGTGCTTCATTTTTAACCCATTACA